ATAATTTAATTGAAGATGAGAGCTAACCAGGCACACCACCTCAATAAAATAAATTTAAAAAAATCTTTGAACGTTGTCAAAGATTTGCCATGAATGTGAATACGGCACTGAAGGTCAATGGCACGCTCCATTCAGATTCACATTCACGGCGTTCCGATGGGTCTCGGTCACTGGGCCACGCGGCTGGCATCACGCATCGCGAGAAGTTCAAGTGAGTCCGGGCGTGCGTGCGTACAGCCTGCGTGTCTCCGGACACGCCACCACGCCGCGTGCCGTACCACACGCTCTGCATGGACGTCCGAGGGGAACGGACGGACTGTCCGGGGAGCAGTCCCTTTGCTATGTTTTTGTTGTTGTTGTTCTCGCCTTTTTATTTTGTTTATCATTAAATGTTGCTCCCCCGAGAAATTTTTGATGCACCCCGTCCCAGTTGGTGCGGGGCGGCTGACCCGCGGCCAGACGGCCAGCACGCGAGACATGCTAATGGTGAGGGTGGCGCCATGCCTCGTCAGTCTGTCTCTCTCGCACCTGGACGAGGCCCATGAGTGCGAGTGAGACAGAGGACGAGGCAAACGCCAGGCACCGAACTTTGCAATATTGCAGAAACAAAACCTTCTGGCTGTCATATGACAGCCAGAAGGTTTGTTTCTCCAATAGCGTTCTGCATGCAAACTAAAGGTAAAGCATTTCTGACCGTATTTTACGTGCAAAATGCGCTTATCGGGGAGGTCACGCAGATTAGGAATCAAAAGTTCGATCAAAAATGGGTCAGAATGCGTTATTTTCACGTGCCGTTCAATGCAGAACTAGGGTTTTTCGACACAACTCTCACAGCGCACCTCGATTCCGCAAACGACAAAAAAACTCTTCGCTTCTTCCATCCTCCCCCGTGTCTGCCCCTGCCCCCGCGGAGCTGATTCCGTTTTCGTCGCTCTGTCTCTCTCGCACCAATACGGGCACCCCATGAGTGCGAGAGAGGCAGAGCGACAGAAACGTCTCTCGGAATCTGTCTTCAGGGCCTGCCTCGAGGAATGTGCTCACGGAAAAACTATCACGAGTGCCTCCAAGCTTGCCAGGCCCCGGCGCAGGCCCCCCGCCAAGACCTTAGGTTCCGCTCTATATGTTGTTACGGGTCGCACGGCGCCGCGGCGCACAGCCCGGCACAGCCGACCGCCACCGGCCGAGCGCAGTTTATGGGCGTGAGCGCGAGTGTGTGAGTTAGTGCAACAACAATGTCAGTCATATGAGCATTGGCCATTTTCCAGCTAACAATAAGAAAAAAGTACAGGGTCGTGCACGAAACTTTTGCACCACGGTAACAAATAAAAAGTAATAATTCAAAAGGTTGACCGGGAGGCTTGTCAAGACCCTACAGGGGAATCATGACACAACTGTTGGCAAGAACGGCACAAAATTGCACATGTCAATATGTAAGTATGCCTAGAGAAAATGCATCCAACGACCGCGGAAGCCCCTGCCATTTTGGAGTCACCACGGGTATACTCCTCAGAAGAAGCCGTAGGCTGCTCGTTTTCCGGCTGACACTCATGAAAATCAATTGCAACAAAATGTGTTGTTGCTGTTTTACTTTTTGAAAAGATGTCCCTAGAAGCGACCGTAGACTCACAGACTGACAGAGACTGACACACACACACACACACACACACAGCGCCATAAGCCACCACGGTGAAATGAAACAGTCGCGACGTCCTCTTCGCTCGCTTCGCTCCGCAGTCTGAATAACGCGCGTAAAAAGGTAGTCACACTCATTAAATAGCGTAAAATTATACTTGGCAAAGGCCTCGATAGTATCTGCAGCGCGCGCAGACCGGAGGCGCGCCGAGTGCGCCGAGCCGAGCCGAGCCGAGCCACGGCGGGCGGGGCGGCGCCGAGCCGGACGGCCGGTGGGCGTCAGACGACCGGCGACGCGTGCAAAAAGCGCTCCCCGTCCTGCCGACAAGGGCCGCGTGGACTCGATCGACCGCCAGAATCAAAACAACTCGAAGCGCGTTTTCCCCCTCAAATCGGCCGAAATGGCGCCGCGCTGAATCCGATTTGGATTTACTCGCGAGAAGAATGAGTATGCATTAGATTAGCCCGCCCAGCGCACGCAGCCCGCACTCTCGACGCGTGGATGACGTGCTCGCCGTTACCTCATGAATACTGGCCCTACACCGTAGATGCGTGTCCAATATATGACAGCTTAGGCCCGCCTAATTGTAATGTTTACTCAATTAGCATGGCCGCCGCACAATACGGTGTACGTACGCGGAAGATGATCTCTCCATTTCCCATGTACTGCTCGCTGCTAAGGCTAGCAATATGTTTATGGGAGTAGTGAGTGTCTAGCGTAAGAGAGCACCCGCGTTCGTGTGTGTGAATGTGTGTGTGTGTGTGTGACTGTGCCTGTGTGAGTGTGTGTGTGTGCACTTGCTTTTCACTCGCTCTACGCGCTCGCGTTTCATCGCTCGTGTGATGGCCACAACATGCGTGTGCGCACGACCGGAGCAAAATACTACATACTGCCAGGGAATCTTGCTCTAGAACGGCGCGGCAGGCCGCCCCGGCAAAAAGTTCATGGATGCTTGCACCTGAAATTGGCATGCTGTTGCCTTGCTATTTTTTTCGTTCCGTTGTTGTTGTTGTTGTTGTTGTTGTTGTTATATTCGTTGTTAACGTTAGGTTAAGTTAAAAAAAGACGGTCTTTCAATGGAAAAAAAACAAAACGACTTCTACTAAGTTAGCTGAAAAGTAGACATAAGGTCCATCAAAGCGAGTGCACGCCGCACTTTCATTCTTGTAGACAGTTCCTCCTGAACAGGCCGTGGAAGTCACTGGAGGGCCACTGGACGGACACTGAACAGAGGACAGTCACTGAACAAGCAGTGGGGCAGTGACCTCCCTCACATCGGCCCAGCGTTGTGTCTCGCCAAGCACGAAAGCCCGAAGGAAGGGCGTCAAATGTGACATTTCATTCATTCATTCATTCATTCATTCATTCATTCATTCATTCATTCATTCATTCATTCATTCATTCATTCATTCATTCATTCATTCATTCATTCATTCATTCATTCATTCATTCATTCATTCATTCTAAGGCAGGCAATCTAGTGAAACAAAACAAAGTAGTGCAAATGCTTTGCACAACGTCGTAGTCAATAATAAACCAACTCACTTGTACTCAAACTACGCGCCAAAACCCTTTCGGGTGATATCCAGTGACGGTCAAAACAACAAAGTTCAGCCGCATACACGGTTCAAATGTCTTAAGGGGAAATTTTGGGTGAGCTAAACAATTTTGAGCGTAATCAAATGCGGTAAAAAAAAAATGTTCCACCAGCTATGTACAATTTTGTCACAAGATTTGGCAAGTAGCTCACAAAATTATTTTCAGTGGGTAACAAAATGTGACAACAAAGCCCTTTCCCTCAAGCTTTGTTTAGGTACTGTTCAGGCCCACCACCTAGGGCATTTGTGTGAGCGATATTTTTTGGTTCTAATCACTATGACATTCTTCATGAAACACTGTGACCAAAACATAAAATATCACCCTCAAATGCGCTGGTTCGCGGGCCAAATACATAAACAAACCCATACGTGCACTGTAAAAAATTCCGTACTTTTGTACGGAAATGGTACAGAAAAATATAGTACGGAGGTACGGAGAAAAGTACGGAACGTTCCGTACTTGCTCCAAACCCATGTAAATGGGTACGGAAAAAAAAGTACGGAACGTTCCGTAGTTGGCAAGTACGGACGGTCCAGGCAAATTATTGACCAGACATGTTCCGTACTTTTTCCGTACTTTTTTCTCACAGTGTGGGCTTGGAAAAAACGTCTGCTGTGCACGGCAGCACGGACCGACACCCGCGAAACACAACGTCACTACTCCACGCGCGAGCGAATCCCCATGCTGAGCACACGGCCCGAAAATCTAGAGCGGGGTATCGACACTGGCTGGCCGGTCACCGAAGTGCGGAGTGGAGCACTGCGAGGCGAGCCGCAACGCCCCGCGAGTGCCACACAGCAACACTGCTCGTCCCGCGGGGGAAACAATTAAGATTCTTTCCCGAGGCACCTCCATAATTCATGCGCAATATAACCGGAAACAAAGAGTCCCTCCGAATCGCATCACATTAGGGTCAGTAATAAAAGTGCAGCCAGAACAAGTCCCAGTGCGCGCGCCGGCGGCGCCGGGAGTCGAACCCGCGCCACGTGTGTGTCTAGGCAGCGCGCGGAACGCAGGCAGTGACAAGAAGAGCACATTGTGAAATAATAACATCTATTTTTGATTTGATTTTGCGGTAATACAGCTAGTTTCATATTTCAGGTTGACACGAAATATCCCAACCGCCAGCGGATAACGCGGCGCTGCTGGACTGGCGGTAGTGCCGGCTTCGCAAAGGATTCGCAGCCAAAATCAATAACATCTCAGCTGTTTTTCAAGTTTGAAGTGCAGTTCGAGGACTGCGCCGCTCACCGTCGAGCCCTGCGGCTGAGAAAGACTGTTTTTCCCGACAAAAAATTGAAACTAATGGCCCGGGTGGCCCGGCCGGGCCGCGGCGCCGGAGACTTTAACGATGGGGAGGCAACCCGCGGGGAAGCGCGGGCGCGGCGGGGCTGCCGGCCGGCCGGCGGATTAAAGTCGAATTAAAGTGGAGCGGCGGTGGATCGGTGTGTGATTCCGGGGCGGTTTTTCTCCCCGGTCGCCCCGGGCGCGTCTCTAGCGCGTCCATCGCGTCCCGGTGCCCCGCCGCGGTGCCGACAGCGTGCCGACAGCGTGCCGACAGTGTGCCGACAGCCGGCCGGCGTCAAGACGGACTCCCGCTACACTGCGCTAGCTTGCACTTGCTCTGCTTGTCCCGCCAGTGGCTGCGCGTGAGTTCAAAAGGGCGCTTCGCCTCCTGCACGCACCGCACACGTGCCCGCCGGCTACCGGTGACGTGGGTTCGATTCCCGGCGCCGGCCGGCATCACTTTCGCGCGGATGACACTAACCTCTTGCCGTTTCTTCGTCGCCGCTTGGTGGCGTACACCGTCCCGAGCTGGCTCATGCTGGCGGCCGAGTGCGCAGAGGCCGAGGGGGCGGCCGACGCCACCCCGCCCGCCCCCGCCGCCCCGGACGCCGCGCCCAGCGACCCCAGGACGCCGACGGTCGAGGCACCTCCGACCACCACGCCCAGGTCCGAGGGGTAGCAGGCGACGCCCCCCGGGACGCCCCCCGGGCCCCCCAGGGGGTACTCCGGGGTGGCCACCACGGCTGTGGACTGGAGCTGCGTGGTGGACGCCGTGGCTAGCGCCCGCTATCCATGGCAAGCGGCGCTCTGAAGCACTGAGGTATCCACTCACTGGCACAATCACAGCACTGCACTTTGGGTCAACAACACATCCTGGACACGTGCTTCGAAGAGGATCCACACACACACCCGCACACACTCGCGCACACGCGCACACACACACACACCCGCGCACGCCCACCTGCGCACGCACGCCACAGGGGGAAGGACACGCGCTGCACTGCGACCGGCCCGACGACTGCCGCCCGGCACGACCGCTGGCGTTCTGGCGCGGGCGCGCGCGTTGCAGGCCGAGCCTCGCCCCCCGCCCCCTCGCCCGCCCCTCCACGGCCTCCCCCACCCGGCCGACCTGGCCAATGGGGGGCCGCTGCGGCGGCGAGGGCGGGGCACGGTCTCTCCCAGCGGCCGCGTCCGAGCGGTCGGCGTCGCAGCCCCGGACGCCCACGGCGGAGCGAGGGAGCGCCGCGACGCTCGGGGACGCCCCGGACGCGGCCCCGTAGTGCCGCCGCGGACGACGCGGGGGCGCCAGGTAGCGGCGCGGACCGCGGACGCCGCTGCGACGCCAGCGCGCCGCGCGGCCGAACGGCGAACCCGGTCGGGAGAAGGGCGCGGCGGCGGCTGCGGCTCGACACGGCCCGGCTCCAGTGAATGGGTGTTCGAGTAATCGAAGGGGAAGCCCGCCGACGTTCAAATGTGGCCGCGCTCCGCGCTGTCCTTCACTCGGGAAAACTTTCTTGTCATGAGAGGATTTGCCTGGAGAGAGGCAAATTTACTTGAAGGAGAATCTATGTCGCCTTGAAGTGAAATACCCCTCACTGGTAAAACTGAAGCGTAGTTGTATGCTTCATTCAAGCATACACCTACGCTTGAAGACTTTTGTTGAGTTTTCAGAGTATGACTCACGTCTTTGAGACGCTGCGAGCTGCCAGCCGGATTCCTTTCTGCATCCCTCACCCAGTCCCGCTGCTCCGATCTCTGTTTATTCATGCAAAAGTCCTTCCAGCCCCTCCAGCCCGGACTCCGGACTTGGGTCGGCAGTTCAGTGATCGGGCGTAGCAGGCCCTTCGCGTGCTGAGCCGGCGGACTGCGATTCCGAGTGGGGGATCTCTCTGTCTCTCTCTCTTTCTATCTCTTGCACTCGGGGTCGTCCCGTAAGGTCGCGAGAGAGACAGATCGACGAGAGCACTGTTTGAATGATTCTGCTGCTTGGCGTATCAAATGAGTACAGATTCATCCCAAAACGTCATCCATTGCAGTCAAATTGAAAACCCATTGAGGGTCAATACCTTCGCGGTTGAAAATCCAAAAAACAGGAACCGATTTTGCCTACCTGATCGAAATGACTGAAATTTTGAAGATTCCCTTGAGAAGCAATGAAGAGAGTAAATTTATCAGTTCCCAATTAGTTCATAGAACTATCCAAATAGTTTTCCTCACTTCGACTTGTGATTCTTCCAAACGTTCATTTCGGCTGAGCAATTAGCACAAGGTGGTCGCTCATTTCGGAAAATCCTCTCATTTTCCCCATTATTTAGAAGCGCCTCTTTCCAGAGTATTTTACAGTGCAGGAATGCGGGCCGCCCGATCGACGTTGGTGGTTGGTCGTCGTCCAGCAGGCCGCTCCACGTTGCCTCGGACATGCCCTGGAACGAGCGGCCACCTGTCCGGCCAGCGCCTTGTGTCCTCCCATAATTGAACCGTGGTACGCCCTTTAAAAAAAGGGGGAAATATCGTAATTATCGCCCTTTACAGGTGCTTATTTTTTTGCGACACTTTTTTTTATAATATTGCAAACTTGTTGCGTTTTCTTTTGTAGTTGTGGACCACACCGAAAAACAGTGGCGCGTGCATACCAAAACCTGACGACAGAAAATTACTTTTAAAAAATTACAGAAAGATTTTCAAGCATTGCAGGCCGATTTTTCCAGGAGGGTACTATTTGCAGGTTTGGCCGCGGGGCCTCGGGCCGTACACTATTAGCCGTGACTGCTATCCGATCCATCCCTTGCCGCTCCGTCGTGAACGACACGGCCAGCGATCAATGAACAACAACAAGAACAAAAACGAAACCACCCACGACGCCCTCAACTGTCCTTCGTGATCCGACGTCACTGGAAGAAACCACGGCCGTTTACTCGCGACTATTGGGACAGAATTCAAGATCACGCGGATCACGCTTCGTTTCGGAGTGGTCACAGTGTTTCGTCCACTGTGGTTAGGAGTCTACGCTGCCAGCATACATGGTCTGTCGAAGGTCGATAAATTTCTTTGAACTAACCATGCGTTGACCCAGCAAATATATTGCAGGGTCAAGTAAATGCAGGTTCCTTTTTCTTCAATCCTTTTTCAACAACTACATTTACTGTTTAGGTTGACACTCACTGCTCACTTGGTTTGTCCCATAAACGTTTGAATGTGCGACTCCCACATCTGCGACGATTAAACAACAACGCTCGACCTCAAGAGTGCCATATCCGTGCGCGATTTTGGGGTGCAGCATCTGGCCAGCGGGGTGACCACTGGCCTGTGAGGACTGCGCCGCGCTGGTCATTGTTTGGACAGGACATCGGGGTCCTGCCTTTTGTCCGGCCGGGTGGACACGCGCCTGTGAGGTCCCCGCGCGTGCTGGGTGCCATGGGTGCCCGGGTCCTGGGTGTGGCACACGGTGTTGGCGCGGCATTCATTTCCGAGGGAAAACACAATGAAAACACACAACGGCAATAATGCAACTTGACTCTGCTGCGCAGATCTCTACCGGGGATAAACGGCTCATTTCGATAGAGGTAGAGGTCGAACTTTTTCCTGGGATCTGACCACTTGCTTTATGCGAAAATATGAAGACAAGAGTAATGTTGAAGAGGAAGAAGAGGAGGAGGAGTAAGAAGAAGAAGAAGAAGAAGAAGAAGAAGAAGAAGAAGAAGAAGAAGAAGAAGAAGAAGAAGAAGAAGAAGAAGAAGAAGAAGAAGAAGAAGAAGAAGAAGAAGGAGGAGGAGGAGCACAAGGGGGACGTGGAGGTCGTGGTCGCCTCAGGCCACCTCAGGCTGCCCCAAGGGCCTTGAGGCCCAGCCGTTCCTGGGGGGACTGGGACGTCTGCTGTATTGCCTGCTGTGCGTATGTGTGTGTGACGTCAATAAGTTATAGAGGTGCTCAAGCGGCAGCCTCCACGCTTGCAATAGCTATAGTGTGCCTGCGTTGGATTCGTGCGTCAAATGGTGTCAGTGACAGCACACACTCGTGTTTACTGATACACGGGTATGTCATCCCTGAATGTGTATTCAACAGTGGTTTATGAACTTAACTTGTCTGTTTTACAAGACATTACCAGCCTGTGACACGTGTCCTGTGACAATATTTTGATTCACAGCCATGCAGCTCCGAGCTTCCGTACAATTTTTACAATTTTTAGCCGTTCTCTAAAGTAAAGTTCTCCTGCTGCCAGATAAATCAGGCGCCTATCCTTGGTAATCGGTGTTATTATTGCCCCCTCCCCCTGTCCCTCTGTGGGAAAAAGATAGAAATGTGAGAAGTAAAGGCCGCCAAGAAGCAAGGAAAACCGAAATTTTAGATCCTGGAAGTAATAAATGCCATTAAAACCGACAACAGTCAGCGAGCGAGCCAAGGCAATAACTAAATTTCGTCATCAACGTTTGTTTATGGCCGGATATGAAATGATCCTTGGAGTGCGTCTAGCGGCAGTCCCAGCCACCATGCGAAAATCCACAACAAGAGAGTGACGTGGGGGAGTGCACGCTTATATCGTGAGATTCAGCAGCTAGAAAAGACATTGTCCGAGTGCCACTAAACTCGCACACGTCACACAAGAATACAAACAGCAAAAGGGGCACTTTTGTCCATTGTCTTAAGAAGGAAGGCAAGCCCAAAGTACAGGCGTCGCGAAAAGGGGTGAAACCCTCAGTGAGAAGTCAAATGCGTCGCAGTGTTCTGTGTGGATAGCTCCTTTTCGAGCGTGTCACAAAACACAAATGCAAAGGCACGGGCGGCTGCCTAAATAAATTACAGTGGCGTGTGTAGCAGCAGCGAGTGGTGCGAATGAGATGAGTCGGCACTGATTCTCATTCATTTATTTTTTGGCTTCTACTTTCGAGTTTCAGGCGAGCACCGTTTTCCGCTTGTTGCATGACCAAGCGCATCCTTTCAATGAAAAAAAGACGAGAGATACGACTACGACACGGTATTGATGTTGTTTTGATTTTCGACAGTCCAACACCCGCATTCTTCGCGCAGCACTGTGAGGAGTGTATCGCGAAACGATCTCAAAGTGTTCCATTCCGAAATGAAAATTGGAAGCGGATCCCCCGTCATTACAGTGCACTTGCAGCAAGGGCGGTGGGCGGCCGACGCCGATTTCAAACGCTGTCTCTCTCGCACTCGTGGGGCGTCGCGCATCGGTGCGAGGGAGACAGCGGCATCAGCCTGCAGGCGGACCTATTCGGACTGCGAAGGAGGGGCCTGGGCGTCGCGGCGCGTCGCTGGCAGTGGCCGAGGCCAGGGCCGCGGGTTGGCGTGTTCTCAATAATGTTCGCCTATCAGTGGATCTAATAATTTCCCACGCTAAATGAGCGCCCCTACAGTCGTAGCGAAAGATCCCGTTGCCGGATAAAAGTTGGAGCCCCGCGCCGCGCCCCGCGGCCGCAGGCAAGCCAACATGGACGGATCTGGCAACCACCGCGCCGCGTAGCGCCTGGCGCAGCATGGCGCACAGGCCTATTTTCCGCACATTTTGACCCGGACGCAAGCTAGCAGTGCCATGCAACTACACTGAAAAAAAAAAAACCATCAAACTTTAAAGGAA